TTTGTGGAAATAGCTATAATACATCATTGTGTTAAACGTACAGGTGCAAGGTGATAATCGCCTAGACTCTGAAAGGCTGAAGGACAAGCTTAGCTCTTTCCACCAACAATCAGATCGAGATTTACGCTAATTAGGAATAACTATAAAGATTATGTCTATTAATTAGCAAGCTTTAGTTTTGACATACTAATGTTGCGGTGTTAAACTCATAAAACTCGCTTTTATTTAAACAGAATACAAATACATTTGAAACCTCATTACAAGATTTGTTCACATTTAATCTAACAAAGTTCAATATAACATTCATGAAAAACTGTAAAGAAAGACAAAGACTGAACTCTATGAACAAACCCTATTCGTATGAACAAACCCTAACTATAGAGAGAAGTGGTAACAAGTCTGTGTGAAGTGTGTGTGAAGAGATAATGAGAATAATGAACGAGTCCTCTCTTCGGTCTTCATTATATACACGGGTCACAAAAGAGTGAAAGACGGTGCAAACCCAAATCAAACCCTAGTATTTGACATAGCACTAGTAAAAAATCGCGATCTTCGGATGGAAGAATCCGTTGGTAATTGCCTTTACCAATGGATTTCAAACAAAATTCAGGCTTTCACATTTTTACTCATGGCAAAAATTTACGGACAGATTGCCAACCGAAATACCAACAAAATACCGGCAGATTTAGTTGTTGCAAATTTGCCGACGACATTGAGCTACCAACGGAAGCGACATATTTCTAACTGAACAAAGTTTGACCTACTTTAACGATTTTATTCATGGATTTCCACAACCCAATACATTAAAACTATAAAAATTCTCGCAAATAAATCAATGTTTTTTTTACACTTGTTGAACTCTAATTCAAATTGTTAAATATTATTTTATAGTTATTTTGAATTAATTTTTTCCTATTTATTCTATGAATTTTTTATTTTATTAAATACATTATAATTAATGTAATAATTACAATAAACATGGTAATAAATTGATATCAATTATATTAATGAATTTACATTTTAATTTTAAAATTTCTAAGATCACTAGTGTTTTTTATTTATTTAAATTTATAAGATAAATAACATTTGCATTCTAATAATTTATTATATTTCTTATTTTCTTTTAAATTCAAAATTTTTAAATATTTTGACATATTTTGATGTTTGTATGTAACTTTTTTTTTTTAAATTAACTGATATTAATATATGAGTCTCACAACTAGTCATTATTCAACCAAAAATTAAACTGATAAACATTACAATAAACTTTGTCGGTTATAAATATGTACTTCGCATTTACTCCCTGTAATTTCATAAAAATAACTTAAATACAAGTCAATATAGCTCATTTGTTAGGATACGAAGGTTACCAAACATTATCTATTCCTATAAAAAAACATAAGAGGTTTTAGTATTCAAAATCCCTTACAACTAATCACCAAGCATGTACAATAGCCCCATAATATAATCAAGAGTTACATAGTTGTAACCTTGAAGCAAACCAAATAAAAGTAATATCAACATTCTTGGCCTTGTTTTGCACCTGTAATAAATAGATTCAATTAGGTTTTACCTTATTCAAAGAAAGTAGAAAAATTAGAGTGGATGGAGGAGGTACTAGAGGCAACAATAGTGAAGAATGGAAGTCGAAGCAAGGCGAAGATGATGAGGTGGCAAATTGTTGTGACATTAACCATCTTTAATGTTTATCGGCGATATGGTGGACCGAATTGGGTTTCCAGCGAGGTAGAACTTTGGTAGATTGAAGGTAGCCAGTTCAACCGGTGGTGAATACTAAATCAATGATGGTGATGACGATGACATATGAGAATGAATATGGTATGCACCGTAATTTTGATCCTTGGTGTAAAACTAGCGTTTCATGTATTTTTAGTAATGGCCCAATTTCCTTAAAAGTTGCAAAATTTGTCCCTATGTTGGGCGTACGGGTTGGGTACTCCAGGCGTAGAACCTTAAGTAATGATCGTGGACCCCCCCCCCCTCGGTATGATGGGGTACATGTATCTACGTTGGGCATACGTAAGCAGAGGGAAAACCCAAATTTATTGGGTTTGGACCCTATTTAAAGGACATTATTAACACTAACCCTTTCCTACCTCAAGCCTCCATCTCTCATAGCCTCCATTTTGAAACCCTAATAGTATGTACATGTTTTTTGAAGCCTTAGAATGTCATTTTGGTGTTCTTGGTAAAGAAGGAATACTCTTGGAGTTGTAGTGTTTCACTTAATCCTTTAGGATCCACCAATTACTCATCCTTCTGCATCTTTTGGAGCTATAAAGCTTTAATCTTGATGCATATTCCTTTAGATCTTGTTTAAGCTTAGATTTATAACCTTTTATCCCAAGATCTTGATCCTTGTGAGTATGGAATACTCCAGGGCCTTTAAGTTGTCATTCCAGTCATTTTGGAGTGTTTAGTGTCATAAAAATGCAAGCATGGGCCTTTGTTTTCACCCATGCAAGTTTAGGGAAGTTTAGTTGATAACTTTATTTAGGGTTGTGTTTTTAGCTTACTTGTCCCATGGAAAGGCATAAAAGGTTACAACTTTATGAGTTTATACGTTAATTGGATGTTAGATCTGAAGTTTGGACATTGGGTCTTAATGCATTAAAACGTTAATAGAGTTTGTGGAATCTGTCGAGTACGCTTGGCGTAATGCAGGGTATGTTGGGCGTACCTACTTGCGACCCTACAAGCCTTCTGAGGATGATTTGTATGCTAGGTGTAGCATGGTGTACGTCGGGCATACGCTCAAGAAGCCTTTTGGGTCGTTTAGAACTTTAGGTCTCTAGTAGGGATGTTTATGGATGGCTAACCGATCGAAAACATATTTCAATGAATGCAAGAAAATATAAGCCATTCATGCATGATTTTATCAGGTATGTATTTTAATTTAGATTTATACAAAACCCTTCTAAGAACCCTTTGGGGTTGATTTTGAAGTTTAGAAGTCAAGTGGAGCAAGGATTTGCATCTACACATTTGGTTTTCTTAGTTTAATGATGTTTAGCCTAGTTTACCTTATGTTTAAGTGTTCATCAGCTGTGATTATGGGATAAAAAACTTTGCTTTCGTTTAGTTAGATGAAACCTAAAACTATGAGTTAGTGTCTTACTTTATGGATTATATGAATTTGGTTTATGCATGTGTTTGATTATCATTACCTAGCATGTTAAAGTTTGTAACTTTGTTGCTTAATTTCTAGTGTAGTGTAGCTTAGTCACCATTAAATTACATGAACTTGATTACCTAGTGATTTAGTAACCATTAAATTGCTAGAGATAGGATCGACCAAATCTTAGATAAGTAATAAAAGTAACAAATTTAGTTGTGTTGGAAAACATAATTGTGTTTGCTTTGAGAAATCTTTCGTAGCGCATCTATAATGAATAACTAATTTTGTGTTTTGCTTTTGTATGACCTTACAAGGTAGTTCATGAATTGGTGAAAATATTAGTAAATTTGGAGTTGAATTGCTAATTACATATAACTTGGTAACCAACTTCATTAATCCATAAAGAACTTACCATAGGAAAATGTAGCTTCGAAACTAAACGAAAGTGTTTTTAATATATTGATTATAATCGTTTTTAGTTGAGTGCTTAAGTTTTTCTGAACTTGTAAAATTAGATGAAAAAAAACCCCATTTTAATAGTTTTTCTTAGTTTAGCTTTTAGTAGTTATTTTATTAATTAAATATTGTTACTTGTGATTGACATCCGACTTACCAAAATTATTCTATAAATCGACTAGATATACTGTCTAGGTGCATTCTACCTAGTTAAGTTCGTTATGTTATAAATTTAAAACTAGATTGGTATAATTTGCAAAACATCAAGTTTTTGGCATTGTTGCCGGGGAACGGACTATTTGATTTTTAGTTTAATTGCTTTAAGTTATTTGATTTTTTTGTGGTGTAAAAACCGCAATTTTTCTGCATTTATTTTTTTGTATGATCAGCAACCACGTCGTGGTTACGTTACAGTAAATTTTTTGTTTAGTTATTTTTTTCTTTTTATGTGGCTTATTAGTTTTTTTAGCATGAAATATGGGGGAGACCATGACAATGGAAGAGTACAAGCGACATATGAGGAACGAAAACATATGGGGTCTTGATCAACCAAAAATCCCAACCACAACAAAGTTTGAACTGCCAAGACATATTCTTGGCTTGCTAAAAGATCTACCATTTTATGGGAAGGAGCATGAGGATGCCTATGAGCACATAGAAGAGGTGGTGGAGATTTCACATTATTTTAATGCACCAAACGTGAGTAAATATGCGGTGATGCTTTGACTTTTACCGATCCCATTGAAGGGTGAAGCAAAAGAATGGTTAAAATCACTTCCTTTTGGAGCAATCACGATATGGGCTGATTTTAAGACTGAGTTCATAAACCAGTTTACACCTCCTTTAAAAATAGCAAAGCTTAAAAGAAACATACAAAATTTTCAACAATTAGAAGGGGAGTCGCTATATGAAGCTTGGGAGCGTTACAAGAGATTATTACAAAATTACCCTCAACATGACTTCAATGTGCAACAATAAATCTCGATGTGTTATGATGAAGTCAATGTGTGTACTCGCCAAATACTAGACTCTCAAGGGCCCACGAAAAAAGAAGGATCCGACAACAAATAAAGCTTTAATTGAAGAATTTGTCAAGCATTCAAAGGAGTATCACAACCCAATAGGGGAGGATATCACGAGAAGAAAAGCGAATATAGATGGAGTTTCCGAAATCTTAATGATGGTAATGACGAAACTCAATGTCAGGGAAAATAGGCTCACAAAAATGGGTGGATCAATTTATGTGATACACAATAGATGTGAATCTTGTGAAGAACTTCACTCTATAAGGGATTGTGAATGGGAATACAAGAGAGCTCAAGACATGATAAAATATCAGCAACTAGAGCACAATATCTAGCAACTAGAACGAGTCCAGTCCAAAAAGATAGATGCTCTCGATTCAATGCTATTCAGATTCGTGGAAGCTAATGAAAAAAGACATGATGCAACACTTAGAGATCATCAAGCATCAATTTTGAGCAACCACACACAAGTTGGCCAATTAACAAATTTTGTACAAGAAAAGCTATCAAATCTTCTTTCAAGAAAAGACGAGTCAATCCCTATGGCTAAAGTCATGGTTGTTTGTTAAAAGAGAAGAAGAATATTAAATTGCGTATAAGAAGGACCTTGAATAGGAGTCTAATCAGTCACTCGAACTAAAAAATAAAGAAGAAGAAGAGTATCGTGAAGTTGCCCAGTCGCCACGAGATGGAGGCAATAGTGCCACATCGTGGGCAATAAAAGAAGATTATGAATTTTCTGTTGCTGGGCCGTATCGACCACCTATTCCTTTCCCATCTCATACCAAGGAAAATATGGTGAAGCAAGGAAACACAATGTTCATGGAGCATAAAGAACTTGCAGAGCAATTGGAAAAGGAAGAAAATCATTCGAGACCTCTAATGTCAACGCCAATGGTTTTTGAGGTGTCTGCTTTTACAAGGCCACCAGATCAAGTCACAAAGACAGTTGAAGAAAAAGAAGAGGAATATGATGAGCCTCATTTTGAAAAGAAAAACCCGGAAAGAGACAATACAAAAGCTAAACACGTCAGAATGAGGAAAAAACCCAAGTTAAAGCACAAAGATGATGTCAACCCATCAATGCAAGAAACTTCAAGAAAGGCATTCAGCAAATGGGTTGCCTACAAACAAACAAGGCTCAATATGATGTAGAACTGGGAGGTTACACCTTCCACCTGACGCAACGTAGAGTGAGAAGGAGTCAGGCTCACGACTCTACAAAAAGAAACACTTCTCGAGAGGCAACCTAATGCTTTTAGAGTTAGCATTTTCCTTTTTTTTTATTTAAGTTTTAGTTTTATTTTTTGTTTTAGTTTTATTTTAACTTAACCGAATGGTGATGTGTTTCTCTAGTTCTTGATCATATTTTGTAGTTTTAAACGAAAGTGAAGAAATGAAGGAGCTTAACTTGAAGAAGCCGTGAGATTTTTGAAGATCATAATTCAAGAACTAGTTTTTGAATAAGTGTGGGGTTCCCACATAATGAAGAAAAAGCATTTTGAAGCATATTGACTGAAAAGAAGAGTGGGAATGGTCTTACACATTACAAAGATTCGATGCCTACCGGTTTCAATTTTAGAAGATTCTTTGAGAAAACACTACGACATGGACATTATCAACATGTCGCAGCAAAAATTTTAATCGCAACTGAATCTAACTACACCATGACGTGGCATCCTTAGACCACGTCGTGGCGATATTGTTTTGCTCGACCTTAATGACCATTTTCTCGACATCACGACGCACCGTTGCTTTCCCACCTCGTGGCCGCAGTTTAGTACATTTTCCAATAATGGTTCTTTAATTTCATTCGATCTTGCACATTTGCATTCACAAGAAGAAGGTCTAAAAGTATTATTTATAGCAACTATACAAGAAGCCTAAGCTTTCCACACAAGTATCAGATTTCGATCTCGCTACTACTACCTAAGGGGGGGTCTGTTCCAATTCTTCATTTTTAATTTTTTTGTTCTTTTATTGTTTCAATACGCAATGAGGACATTGCATCATTTATGTGTGGGGTAGGGGTGAATTTAGGAAAAAAAGCATTCTGATTAAAAGAATTTTAAAAAATGACTAGGTTTTAAAAAATTATTAGAAAGATTTGAAATAATAATCTAAAATTAAATCTAGTGATAATTAACAAATTGAATGCTAGTATTGTGTGGGATGATCCGATAAGAGCCCAAATGTTTACCCGAGCCAATGTATGTTATAGTGTATTGGTGGCTTACCATTTTTAGTGAAAAACCATGAGATATCAAAAATAATCTGATAGTTTGTATGACATAATAAGTTTTATAGCGTGTACCTGAAATCTATTCAGGAGAGCTTATGTAGTCCTTGAACTTAGACAAATGCCTCTAACCAATAAAGGTTGAAGTTAAGCTCCCTTACTTAAGCATGTAGGATTTGAGTGGAAAAAAGGTGAGTTATATATAAAAAGAGAGAATTTTGAAAAAGTTGAAAGGATTTTTGAGCTATCAAAGTATGAAGATCAAAAGATCAATAATTCTGAAGAATCAAAAATTGAACATACCAAAAATCAAACGAGAAGGTGTTGAATTCAAAGAAATCAAAAAGCAAATATCAAAGAAGAAATGATTTCAAAGAGCTCCATTATGTTATCAAAGTTGTAATTCCTTATAGATCATATGTATGCTTAGGACGCTTAACCAAAAATATATTGAGGTTAAAAAAGATTTCTGAGAATGGATTCGGAGGGTTGCAAAAATAAGTGTCGTATAAACTAAAGGGTAATGTTCATAAGGATTGCGAGTATTTAGGAATGGAAATTTTTTAGAATTTATAGACACAAATACATGCATTGCGGTCTTGGGATAATGGATGAGTTTAAAATGTATTGTTTTATGCGATATTAGTAAGTTAAAAATCAGTCTTCTTTGGGGCAAGCAAAGGTTCAGTGTAAGGTATTTTGACATGTGCATATCTACATATATATTTTACATCATATCTTAATATTATTAGCTATATTTAAGATTATTATACAAAAAAATGTACTTATTATGTTTAATATTTGTTACGTAGCATAAAATAAATTCTCGAAAGCAATATCGAAGTTGTAAGCAAGAAAACTCGAGCTTAGACAAAAAGAAGACACAAGAAGGATGTTGTTCGATAGCTTGACTCCTCGTCAGAGTTTTGACCATATCTCATGGCTTGTAACTCCGATTGTCAAGATTCAAAATGTTCTGAAAACTAGACACAATTTTGGACGACATTCATGTTTTGAGAAAGGACGATCTTGATAACCAAGACGTGGTGATCCCACCACGACGTGGTGAATGGAATGTTTGCGATTTTTTATGCTGACCTGGAGAATACGGGATAAACTTGAGGGCCACGACGTGGTGGCCAAATTTTTGGAAAGTATATATATCCAGACATTATCACGAATAGAGAGACTTGGAGGTTACTTTCTGGAGAAGCATTGCGATAAAAACCCTTCTAAGAACCCTTTTGGTTCGATTTTGAAGCTAGGAATTCGATTGAAGCAAGGATTCAAATCTACACATCCAGTTTCTTAGTCTAATGATGTTTAGCTTAGTTTACCTGATGTTTATGTGTTCATCAGTTGTGATTATGGGCTAAAAACCCTTGCTTGCGTTTAATTAGATGAAACCTAAAACTATGAGTTAGTTTCTTACTTTATGGATTATATGAATTTGGTTTATGCATGTGTTTGATTATCATTACCTAGCATATTAAATTTTGTAACTTTGTTGCTTAATTTCTAGTGTAGCGTAGCTTAGTGACCATTAAATTACATGAACTTGATTACCTAGTGATTTAGTGACCATTAAATTCCTACAGCTAAGAGCGACAAAATCTTAGACTGTAATAAAAGTAACAAATTTAGCTATGTTGAGAACATAATTGTGACCATAATTACGTTTGCTTAGATAAATCTTACATAGCCCATCTATAATGAATATCTAATTCTATGTTTTTTTTGTATGACCATACAAGGTAATTCATGAATTTGTGAAAATATTAGTAAATTTTAACTTGAATTGCTAATTACATATAACTTGGTAACGAACTTCATTAATCCATAAATAAGAAGTAACCATAGGAAATGGTGTATTCGAAAAAAAACAAAAGTGTTTTTAGTATATTGATTATAATCGCTTTTAGTTGAGTGCATAAGTTTTTCTGAACTTGTAAAATCAAATAAGAAAACCTTCATTTTTTTGTTTTTCTTAGTTTCGCTTTTAGTATTTATTTTATTAATCAAATATTATTCCTGTGATCGACAACTATTCTATAATTAGACTAGGTACACTGCCTCGGTGCATTCTAACTAGTTAAGTTCATTAGGTTCTAAATTTAAAACTAAATAGGTATAATCTGCACCACGTCAGCCGCCAATGGATCTTCCACCACCAAAGCTACTAGTGACTAGAGACTGTTGCCACCAACATTACCGTCGACGCATTCTCTACATGCATCATATATTCTTTCAAGCGATTACAACTAATCTTAAGCATTAATCAATCTTCCTAAAATTTTATGATTTTTGTATCTTCATTGATGCTTAGTGATTTTTGGATTTTAAATATACTATTAATTTTTTTTTTTCTAATCTTTTTAATTATGATATATACTCTTTAGTTTTCTTAGGGAATTTTCGTATAATGATGAGTTTTTACATGACCAACCTTATAGATAAGGAAGTCTTAACATTGGTTTGATAAAAATTGATTTTGATACTTGTATAAGTCCCGCACACATTAACATCCATTTAATAATGACATTCAACCAATATTCCGTACACAATGATAAAGTTTATCATATATTACATTTATTAGAGTGAGGTTTTGTGTATTGTAATAAAACCTATTTAATCGTTTTCAAATGACAGCCATCATGAAAATCATTGATTTTACTACAAAGATCTGACATGGAACAACATGTAAATATCTATAGTTTGCATTCAATAAGTTCTTAGTTTCTCAAAAGCGAACTTCCCAAAACACTGTATACTCTTAGAAACATGATGACAGGGGGATGCTTTCTTTAGAATTTAAAGACTTTCTATAAAGCAAATATGGACTCAAGGAGATACCATTGTAGCATAATAAACAAATTGGGGAATGTCACATAAATCATCAACAAATTATAATCTAAATTTCTAAAGAACAAGCCACCACATCAACTTTTATTTGATCGCAAACCACATTACGATCATATGAGAGTATTCATGTTCTTGGTATACATAAAAGAAAAAAAAAACATCAAATGATAAGTTTAATGAAAGAGGGAGACCTTGTGTTTTTCTTGGTACCCACCAAGAAATGAGGGATATTGTGTCTACGATTTAAAAGAAAAAAGATGGGTGTTTCAAGAGAAGTACAGTTTGTACAATGCAAATACCCTTTTCGTGACACACATGCACAACCTCAATCACTTGACCTCAAGAATTGTTTTTCCAACACCATTATTTGGCTGACACCAGCCGGTTGCGAGAATCCATCTACCCCGGAAACAAATATTATACTGTCGGAGCCTAGTATCGATGAAACACCACTTATAGAAACCAAAAATCAAGAAGATATGTCTAATAAAACTAAAACCAAGAACAATGAACAACATAATCCACATTTAAACCCCATTCCAATGCAACACCATTGACCATAACATGTCAGAACTTTACTTCAATGTTTTGGTGATTATGAAGTAAATCTACCACCTTCCATAGACCACTCTCTCCCAAACGCCACATCAACATCTTTGACGGTACATCCTTTATCTCATTTTGTTACCTATAAAAAGTTTTCAAAGACTTCAAAATATTTCTTAACCACCATTAGACCACATGATGAGCCCAAACACTTCTATCATGCATCTAAAGACATAACATGGCGAGAAGCTATGAAAAACGAGATCCAAGCACTTGAAACCAACAATACTTGGATCTTGACAGATCTTCCTCCGAGAAAGAAAGAAATTGTCTCCAAATGGGTTTGAAAAATAAAAATACAAAACTAATGGAGAAGTTAAACGTTATAAATTAATTTTAGTAGATAAAGTTTTCACCTAGATTGAAGGTGTGGATGTTAATTAAACATTTGCACAGATCACTAAACTCGTAACAGTTTGAATAAAATTGGCAGTTGTTGTTCATTGAA